TCACTACCTGCAGTAGAGGGCTGAGGGGAATGGGGGATGGTATGAAGAGAGGGAGAAGCTTTTCCAAAGCTCTGAACCACACCAAAGGTCAGCATCTGAAGCCGCTGAAGTCAAAGATGACTTCAGTAACCAACCAGTCCTGCCAAAAGCCACATGGGACATTCACTTAAAAGGCAGTGATCACTAGAACTTCTGATTTCCAAGTGGAAAGTTACAGGTTTAGGAGGAAATTAGCATTTTTAAACCTTATTGTAGACCAACCAAAATGCTAAAGACTTTTCCGCATATGCTTTCTCATGTTATCCACATAGCAACTTTGCAAAGTAAATACAGTTCACAATAATTTATTATGCATAATATACAAGTATATGGATATAACTGAGATAGCCAGGACTCAAAGAGGCATGTGTTTGAGATTTTTGTTTGGGATCAATCCCATACTCCCTTGCGTACCCTTCCCCCAACCCCCACCCCCACCTCCTCCAGCATTTACTGTTCATTCAGAAATAAAGCTTAGTGTAAATTACCAGCTTACTGTATTTCTCCTTATTATGGACATCTGGAGGGCAGTGGTTACGTCTTAAAAACAGTAATAGCCACTGTCTATTGTGGGTGTATCTAAATGTGCCTTGTAAGTATTACCTCATTTAGTCCTCAAAAACATATTAATGAGGTAAGTGCTATTATCCTCACCATACAGAAAAGAAAACAGAGGCTTAAAGAAATCTTTTCACCTTTATATTACCTAAAAGTTAATAAGCAATTAGAATATACTGGGATGTCATATAATTTTCATAGGCTAAATGGGCATAGATGGAGGAACAAGAAAAGGCAAATGGTCTTCGAATTCCAAAATATTCAGAAACAAAGAAGGGCATCCTGCTTTGACCTTGTGTTTCCCAAAGGAGGGCCAGTCTGAGGTCTCAGATTGTCTTGGGCAGTGGAGAAGGTGTTTCTAGGAATCAGTAACCCCATAAGGAGGATGGCAGTGTCTCCCCTACTAGGAATCTGTGCTCTACCTCAGGAATGGAGAGAGGCTGGGCAGGCCAACTCACATTCCTCCCTCTAAGAGCCCCCAGCCACAGAAGACCAAATCATCCTCATAACACCTTGCAGAAGAGTTCCATATAGTCGGCAGGGCTTAGCTTGTATCATTCGTGAGCTCTGTGCACACTCTGCCTGTGAAGACCCTGAAGCCAGTTTACCTGGTGGGGGAAGAGATGGGTTCTAACGCTCGTGTGAAAAATTGAGAAATGAGGGAGGCAGAGGGACAGCTAAGCATGAACCCTGGAGCTCAGTGTTGAAAAGGATTCTGACTACAGGCTCAATGGCAAAGACAGCTGAGATTGGACTGTGGCGGGGTGCCTGGATGGACATGGAGGCAGTGCAAACCCTGCAAGCCATGGGTTTACTGGCCCAGATGTTTGAGAGTTGGTATTTTGTATTCAAGGGCTACCCTAGAGCAAGATCCTCCCTGCAGTGGAAAATGAGGCATTAGCTATCGCTGCCAGATGCTTAGAGTATTTGACTAATCTCAGTAGGAATCTGTCTACTCACTCAGTTGGGCTACATCTTTTTATTTCTTGCATAGTCCTTAGCCAACTTGCAATTATATACTTATCAATTATACATACACATTATGTGTTATTATTTATACAGTTATTAAATGTTTTATCATCTATTTACTTGTTTATTATCTATTGTTCTCACTAAAATATTAGCTCCAATAAGTATTTTATTCACCAAAATAAGCCCAATGCCTAGTAAGATGGCATGTTTTCAGAACCTGCATTTTATAAATATTTTTCAAGTGAGTGGGTAAACAAAAAAAGAAAGGAAATAATAAATGGATGATTTTTATCTCCCTTCACTCACCAAGCAATTTTCTGATGCTGGTGGAACTCTTTTATGGGAAAAGACAGAATCCACATCACACCTTCAGGAGTGCATCTGGTATTTCTCATAAAATTACAGCTTGTATTCCAGTGAGTGCCTTATTCTAATGTGCGTTTTAGTTAACCTGGATTGTGCACTTGGGGACTGTCTCCTCGCCCCCCACCCCCCGGGGCAGAGTAAGGGGTGAGTCTCCAGCTACACTCTCACCACAGAGATCACATCTAGGCAGCAGCCTCTTTCAACCCTTAGGGAAAGGTACCTCCCCCAGTCTCCAGCTTTATTCCCTACTTAAAATTTCTACCAAACCAATGGCTAAGTTATTGCATTTGATACTAACTCATGGTTTCTTAGGTTACTGGGTTAAATAAAACCTGCTGGAGCTTAGAAGATTTTACTACATTGACTTTCATCCTTGCTGCTTAATTAAATCCCTCACCTGGGGAAGAGTGATTTTCAGCCATCTCGCTTTCTGTGGCATCAGCATGAAGCTGTGACTGTTGAAATACCAAAATGCCAGTTGTGTTTAATGCTTCAGGTGTAACAAGCCTGTTATATTTGGAATCCCCGACGAAGGTAGATATTAACTGAGAATTGAAAATGACAACAAAGGAGATTGAATCCGAATAGCAAAATGAGCACACAAATCTACTTAAGCTCCAATTCCTAAACATGTCATAAAAATCTCTTTTTTTTTTTTAAGAGCACAGCCATAGCAGTACTAGAAAACAAGAAAGCAATGCCATGAGAGCACCAGAAATCTTGGGAACTTCCTGGCAGACTGCAGTAAATGCAATTGAGTTGAGAACACAAGATGACCAGAGACTAAAGAATACTCAGGACAAAACAACTTTAGCTGTCAGAATTTATTCAAAAAGACACTGAACACAGAACAATTGAACAGCATAGGGGCTCTGCAGTGGATGGTTGTATTAATGGTCCCAATTCTTCACCCCTCCCTGTATTCATGCCCTTTGCCATGAGACTTTGCAGTTCCTCTCACAACAGGAGTGGAGCCTCTTACCCTGTCCCTTGAGTCTGGACAGGCCTTGAGACTTGCTTTGGCCAATGAGGCAGAAGTGGCAATGTGTCACAGAGCCTGTGTTTGACAGGCAACACCTGTCTTCTGAAGAAAGGGAATCCATGCCTTTTGAGGGCTCCTATGTGAGCACAGAAGCCTGAGAAAGAATTGCATTGAGATAATTCCAGACTTCCAGACCTTCTAGAGGGCAGAGACAAAAGGAAAAGGCAGCTCTATTTAGGAGGAAAATGAACTGACCTTCTCTCTCGCCAGCGTTAAGAAAACCCTCCTTAATCAGCCCTTGGGTTAGTGGTAGGAGGCACCAGACTGCTTGCCTGCTATACTTTCACGTATCCAAAAATGAGATGAGTCAATTGACGCACTCTGCTCCCTTACATAGAGCCTATAAACAGCTCTCACACTTGAGAGAGAGACCCATGGCAGACCAGAGGTATGTATTAATAATAGCAGAGAAGTCTGCCCTGCTGTCCACACTCACCTACCTCCATTTTCAGTCATTAATAAAAGAGACAACCAAGAAACGCCAGATGCTGAAGAAAATCCTTGACGTGAAAGAGAAGTAATAAGATAAAGGATGGGCCAACTAATCCTAGAGAAAACAAATAATTCAATAAAAGAAAGAAATGCCATTTTTAAAAATATAATATCCTCAGAAAGATCCATTATAATAGTACATCCATGATAGAAAGCAACTTTTAGAAATCTTTCAGGAAATAATAAATAATAAGAAAGAAAACTTTCAGAAAATAATAAAGAACACTTGAAAATTAAATTTTTTTCCAAAACATGTTTTCTGAAAATTTTTTCTAACAGAATTCTCAGTATTATTATAAATAATAGAAGAGATAAGCCCAGATATAAAATAAATGATTAGGAAGATAAAATTGAGAAAAATCTTAAGAACACATAGAAAAGGTAAAAGATGGGAAAGGTAAAAAGATGGGAAAGAAGGACAAAAGGTGTGGAGGATGGATCCAAAAGTATATGTGTTTGCTAGAAGTTCCAGAAGGAAAGAAGAGAGAACATAGATGGGATAAAACAGTGAAAGAAATAGTAGAGAAAATTTTCTCAAGGTGAAAAATAAGAGTCTTTAGATTGTAAAAGCTCCAATAGCTGCTGAGTAGAAGGAATCACAGCACACATCCACACACTCTCAAACACACATCTGGATGTGAAAATGAAACGACCATGTCTACAACATTATTGAGAATGAAAACACATTAAGTCTTCAGCTAAACCCCAGTAATTTTTGATAAATGATATAAACACACACACATGCACACACTCAAATCTAGCATAAAATTCCAAATTATACCAACATAAAATGTTGGTATATGTCAGTCAAGGAAAGTGGAGCTAAGCAAATGTGTACTAGGTTTTGAGAAGGTACTGAAAAGATGTAGATAAACAATGATGATATATCACCTCTTGTATTTTCCTGGATAGAGCTGGAACCCATTCTACTTAGTGATGTATCTCAAGAAAGGAAAAACAAGCACCACATGTACTCACCAGCAAATTGGTATTAACGGATCAACACTTAAGTGGACATATGGGAATAACATTTATCGGGTGTCGGATGGCTGGGAGGGGGGAGGGGAACATGTGCAATATACGTAACCTTAACATTTGTACCCCCAGAATATGCTGAAATAAAAAAATAAAAATAAAAAAAATAAGCTAAACAAAAAATACATATACATATCTATACATAAATATAAGTGCACAGAAAAGGGTCTAGAAGAACACACAGGGCATGGAAGGGGACTTGCACCATGAAACGAATCAGCTTCTAAGTTTTTGGAGGTTTTTGACTATTTATGTACGAAAATAAAGGTAAATATTATTTTTAAAAATATAACACAGAAATGATGCTTGCTTTCAATGTTTAACAAACTATTTTCTTTGGTGGAAAGAACAGGCCAAACTCATGTTTATTTTATTTCTATTTATTTTAGGATTATTTTTATAAATCAAAAACTATTATGTCTGACTTTAAAGTGTCATATTTTTCTTTTGCTTCTCCCTCTGCTTCTCCACTCAACTCATTCATTCTTCATTTTAGGCCAGGAGACATTATTACTCTTCTAGAGGATTCCAATGAAGACTGGTGGAAAGTAAGTATTTCTCGTTCTTTAAAAAAATGATTTGGTAACTACAATTACAATAAATGCTACAGTTGTAGATGCATGCCTCCTTTTTTCCTTTCAGGGAAAAATTCAAGACAGGATTGGCTTCTTTCCAGCCAACTTCGTCCAGAGAGTACAACAAAATGAGAAGATTTTTAGATGTGTTAGAACCTTCATTGGGTGTAAAGAACAGGGGCAAATAACACTGAAAGAGAATCAGGTGAGTAAAGGACACAAACACACGCCAGATAGGATCAAAATAGAGTAACAGTCATTTTAATAAACATAACAATACATATAAATCTGAGCAAGTGGGGTCCAATTCAAAGTGTTCACTTTGAGAAAAGATATACTTACTCCAGTGATATTAGTGTAGGAGGAAAATGTGATAACAAAATGTTAGGAATCTCACTTGGTGTTATCTGTTCACAAGAGGAAATGTCACGGTGCCAGGGTGAGGACATCTAGTCCCCAATCTTTGCTGTGAAGACCACTGCTCTCTGATGTAAGCAGCCCATCTAATTCGGGTTCTATGTTGGTGTCCACTAACGTGTGGTTGATTCTTCATGGTCTCTTAGGAATATTTTGTGGTTACTTGCTGCTGGGTTCCAGGCTTCATTGCATTTGCCTCCAGTCACAAGCACCCCTCTAAGGTTTCTAAGTCCAGACTCCAGGCTTCTGCCAATTCACTGAAACCAGTGACACCTTCACAACACTACATAAGACATGCATGGAACATACATAACGAGGGACTGTCTCAGGCCCATGCACTGACCATCTCATTACATCTAATCTGGAGATATCTAGCACCATCTTGCTCCAGTACCATGTTGATTGTGGAGTTCCTTATGATGCTGTCAGTTCCCCTGAGGGGTAAGGTGTGAACGCCCACACCTGTAAGTCTTTAAGCTCCTTGCTTCTTGATCCTCTGTCTCATCCCTAGAATGTGGATAGAAACAAACAGGACACTCACAGCTTAACTCTCTGTCTTACTCTTCCTCTGTCTTCCTCCAGCAGAGAGAGGGCTTCCTACTGCCCCTTCCTGTCAGACTGCAACTTCCTTCATGCCATATTCTCTATTCTCACACAGAGTAAAAGAATATGCTTAGTCCTACAAGTTTGTTCTTGATATATTAGGGGAGGATTTGGGGAATTAGAAATTAAGTTCTTTTTTCTCTCCCAATAAAGTCTCACAGTGGACTTTAATTCCTAATTTTGAAAGTCAAAAGCTTGCCTCTTTTTCTTTCTGCATTCTTGCTATAATAAATAATTTTAATATTTCCCAGGGCAATGAATGCCTATATTTGAAAATGATAAGCCTCACTCTACAAAGAAGTACAAAATGAAAAGGACATTAATAATTTTCATACATCTCTGTTCAATAGAGTGGCCCCAAATACATCTTGAATGTCTTCTTTTAGAATTGCCTTCAAAGATAGTTTCTAAGTCACACACACATAAAAAAATCAGTCATTATATTATAATTATAGCTGATTTGTAGGTTTAAAACATTGTTTTACCCAACTTAACCATTTTGTGTGTCACATGGGGCTTCAAATGACTTTATCATTTTCAAATTAATAAATATGTCTTCAAAGAATAATGATTTACCTTTTGTTTATGGCTAGTCAAAGGAATCTCTCAAGGAAATATCTAAAGAAAAATTATAATATAGAGGAATAGCTTTTTAAAAAAAGTTTAACTCACTCTTCCTTTATATTCAAGTAAATAAAAGTTATTGAAAAGGAGAGATTAATAATTCTGATTATTATTTTCCCTATATATTTTGACAATGGTGTGGGATGGAGTGAGTGAATTTGGGCTTTTCATAAATGTTAGGATATATCAGTGCACTCATTTTAAATAGTGATTTGGTCCCATGCATTTAAAGCCCTGAAATTGTTCAACTTCATGAATACAGTAAGTCCATTTTCTATGATGTATACAAGAAAATAACCTAAAATATAAGGGGTAATCTTTATCAAAAAAATACAATTCATAATGCTGAGAATTAGAAACAATCGCACAAAAATGAGTGTGATTAAATCAACCATAATATCTGCTTTAATGGATAATGTCAGGAACCTAGGCAGTTTTGCTGGTGTTATGATGATACTATGGGCAGTCCCAGATCCCAGTGATTGCTCCCCAAGGTAAACAGAAAGGGAGAGATATGGATGGGGCCTGAAGCCCTATCCATACCCCTGGGAACCACAGTGAACCAGATGGAAATGTCATGTAGGGACCTAAAAGGCCTCCTTAGCACAGCCTACCAACCTTACCCTTACTGCCACCACCACGGGCAGGTCTGAATCTCAGGAGCCTATGGCACCACATGGCCCATGGCAGAACAAAGGCCCAGAAAGAGTGTGGCAAAGCTGACAAAAGAGATAAGGTGGCCTGATGACCTCCCAGGAGGAACAAGAGAGTGGGAAGCTTTAAGAAACAGTGATAAACCCCTGGAACACGTAGGCCAATCAGATCTCCTGCCTTTGGAGAAGTAAAGAGATCTAGGAGAAAGGGCACAATTCTTCATTGTGTCACCATCTTAAATGACGGGCTTTTTAAAAATGTATCTTTATTATTGTATTTTTATTTTTTTATTATATCAGAATATTACGGGGATACAAATGCTTTGGTCACATAAATTACCCTTGTACCATTGGAGTCAAAGCCACAGGTGTGCCCATTCACCCAGATAGCATGCATTGCACCCATTAGGTGTGAATTTACACATCCCCTCCTCCCCCCCACACACCTGCTTGATCTGCAATGGATGTCATTTCCATATGTGCACATAAGTGTTGATCAATTAGTTCCCATTTAATAGTGAGTACATGTGATGTTTGTTTTTCCATTCTTGTGATACTTCACTTAGCAGAATGGTTTCCAGTTCCATCCAGCATAATACAATAGGTAGCTCATCATTTTTTGTGGCTGAGTAGTACTCCACGGTATACATATCCCACATTTTATTAACCCATTCATGTATTGATGGGCACTTGAGTTGTTTCCACATCTTTGCAATTGTGAATTGTGCTGCTATAAACATTCCAGTGCAGGTGTCTTTTTTATAGAATGTCTTTTTTTCCTTTGGGTAAATGATCAATAATGGGATTGCTGGATCAAATGGTAGTTCTACTTTTAGTTCTTTGAGGATTTCTATGATACTTTCCAAAGAGGTTGTACTAGTTTGCAGTCCCACCAGCGTATATGACTGAGTGTTCCTATCTCTCCACATCCATGCCAACATTTGTTGTTTGGGGACTTTTTGATAAAAGTCATTCTCACTGGAGTTAAGTGACAACTCATTGTGGTTTTGATTTTCATTTCTCTGATGACTAGAGATATTGAGCATTTTTTTGTATGTTTCTTGGCTATTAGTCTATCTTCTTTTGAAAAGTTTCTGTTAAATTATGGTTTTTAAACAGTGAGCGGATAAGTTAAATAATTAATATTAATGAATTAGTTAATATTAATTAATATTAATGACACAGTGGGTCAAGCACAGTGGCTCATGCCTATGATTTCAGCACTTTGGGAGGCCAATGTGGGAGGATTGCTTGAGGCCAGAAATTTGAGACCAGCCTGAACAACATAGTGAGACCTAGCCTCTACAAAAAATTAAAAATAGCCAGGTAGGGTGGCACACACCTATAGTCGTAGCTACTGAGAAGGCTAAGGCAGGAGGATCACTTCAACTGAACTTAAGAATTTGAGGCTGCAGCGAGCCATGATTGGGCCACTGTACTCCAGCTTGGGCGATAGAGCAAGACCCTGTCTCAAAAAAAAATTATACAGGGGTAGTGAAAAAATATAGAAATATAGGGGGAAAAATTGGAAGTTTTAAGGGCTTTTTTACTTTTCCATTTAAATTACTTTTATAGTGTAAATGTATAAAAACCACATTTAAAAAGAAGCAAATCATAAAACATACAATCTTTTGAATCTAATAATATAAAGATGCACAGTGTTGCTCTAGTTTTCCTGGGCTTCAACTTTGTATGTTTGTGCAAATTCTTGCACAGACACTCATGCACTATGTCCCACTATTGCCATATCTATCTGCAGTGTCTGCTGCTTATAAAAATACAATAACCCCAAGAGGGGTATGCCATCCAATGATTTTTGGTCATTAAAATCTCTAATACCCTTAGGAAATTGGATCACTGGGCTCTATGGTTTTAGAGTTTTAGTTGAAATTGGCATTCTTCTCTTTTATAAAAATTGCCTACATGATATGCCCACTCGAGAACACACTGCATTTCATACATTGTACAGCCTTTCTTTTACCTGGCTGTTTGTGGACAGAATATACATTTAAAGAGATCAAAACCTATGCATGTGCTGTCATGAAATAAACCTTGCTTACAATCACCTGGTTCTTCATTTCCTGCCCAGAGTTGTTTGTTTTCCCTGGAGCTTGTATTTGCCAACATATCACTTGTCTGCACACTCCCCAAAGAGGTAACAGCAAAAGGCAACATCTGCTTATGAAGAACAGTGACATCTGAGGAATCCCATTAATGACAGCTCTTCTGGGGAGCCCATTATCCCTCTACTCATGGAAGATTGCCCAGATAACTTTGCCTCCAGTAAAAGAATATGCAAACCTCTCATGGCTATTCCTTTTTGGATTATGATATGACCTGTTTTGAGGTCTTCTCTTTGAAAGAGAATCCTTTATCTCTAGTCCCCGGTTTGCAGGACAGGGGGAAAAAAAAGAACAAATTAATACTGTTCTGGACATTGTCACGATAATTGTTGTAAGCATCATCATTATTAGTCATTATATTATAATTTCCTATACACACACATTATGTATAATATTTATAAAGCTCATATACCTGCAACATTTTATTTCAGGTTGCACACTTGCCCTATGAATTTTATAAATTAATTATTCATTATTTATATTGTTAAAATGAGGAAACAAGTTCTCATAGAGGTTATGTGCCCTGCTCAAGGGGTAAAAACCTGCTAAGTGGCCAGGCTGGAACTTAAACACAGGACTGCCAAGCCCAGGTCCATGCTTTGCACTGAGCCAGGTGCCCTGAACAATGTGTACCAAACTCCAAACAGTAAAGAGCAGCTTGGCTCCCCAGGAAGGCAAGGGTGGTAAAGGTAACTGTCTTGGGGCTAGAGGACCCCTTGAAAACAAGTTCTTGCTCATGTGGGCTCTCCCTTGAGTCATTCTTGACTCCAGGCAATGGAGCCATC